TGGTGTTAGGTGGTTACTGGAGCCCATAGACATCTACAACGTAAATGCGCCACCCAACTCGAGATATAAGTTCTAAGGTCTTAGTATAGTTACAACGGCTGCTTCACCCTTCGAACCGAAACGCATTACTGCTTCACGGCGGAAATAGGCGGGGTGGTGGTACCTACCCGTGCGGACTCCCAAGAGGTCCTACCACCAGTGATTACGCAAATTATAATTTTGCGGGTTTGGTTTTTATTATACGATGTTATTCCTTCACCGTGGAAGTCGATCGTGAACATTTGTTATAACACATATTTAAATCCTCGTCTAGAGTATGTCGCATGTTTATCAAATACGTAGAATGTTCCATTTGAAAAACAGAAACCCGTTGTTCCCCGAGGTATGACGTCATACCGCGTGCCCGCGACGCAGTAGATTTCGTGCTTGGGGGAACTCAAAGCGTCCTTGTGGGTCTCATTGACCATGAAAACACCATAACTCTTCAAACCAACCCATAAGGAAAAAATTAGTCATTCCAATAAATGAATATGTTTGTTTGGCGTTATATTTAAATGCTTTTGTTAAATATTATTGTTTAGTTGATTTAAAACTTTATACAGTTATTGTTTGTACAAGAGGGTAGGTTTCCGGTGTAGTAGCATCAACGAATAAATAGTGACGTATTGGTAGGTTTAACAAATTATTGTTTTTTGCATACCAACCCGACCTATGGTCCTGGTTTCGAGATATTATTCTGTGGCTCTTAGGCTCACTGAGTTTATTGGCGGATCTTCTGAGTGGATCGCGATTCCGATGCGGATGTAGATTCTGCGAAGCGCGCCTCCTGCCAGGGCTAGTGTTCGCGAATACGCTAGGTTGGGTTCCGTAAACTACGCGTTAGGTGAAGCTTGTATAACTCCTCGAGGTCACGAGCATAGGTAGAAAAAAAATATCCGAATTTACTTATGAATGAATACATGTTTGATATTCAGAGCAGCGAATTAATAGACATTAAGTCATTTTATTATTTTATTATCATAAAGACCTTTGGACTTCGATCAATAATAGTACTAGATTACGGATCAGGAACAAAAATAAGACGCTCCAGTGGCCACGTTTGCAGACACGAAAACATCTTCATTTCTTAGAAAAAAGTTTAATAATGTTAACGACTTCAGTTTATTATAAACCTTAATACTTAAACATAAAGTTTAATTACCATTGCAAAATATATGTATTTAGGTCCTTTCGTCAGAAAAAGAATATTATGGAATAAATTTAAAATGTCACTTGAACATAAAAAGTCATCAGTACAAAAATATTTATTCTAAAATGATACTTAAAGCCTAATTTATAAGGTTAAAAATATTTGTTTAAAATTTCGTGCTTATTGTATTGTGGAACTAGATGTAGTTCTTGGTATTACATTTCAATGCTCAGAACACAGTAAGTATTGAAAGACATAGAGTTGCAGAATATACATATTTGTTTTAGGTTTGTTTTGTATGGTCGCAACTATTTTTGACCGATTCAAAAAAGTAGTAGATAATATTTTACATTGCCGCTATTACAACAAATAGGTGATAAAAAATAAAATTGAATAAAGTAAAAAAAATATGAAAGGAAACACGAAACATGTTTTCCACGTATTCTTTATACAGAAGTAATTAAAACAATAATGTAGGTTTAATTACCTTTAAACAGATTCAGTTTGTTATAAAGCTGTCTTTTAGAAGTCATTTTTATATGAGCGGTTTCTTTTTTACAAATATAATGTAATCTTATATCAATGAATTTTTCTATAATCAGTTTAATTTAGGCTTATTTTATGGCTGTGTTCGTTTCCCCCAGAAAACAAATCCTTTTCAGCATATACGCTTAAAATATTTACACATACATATAAAGTTTTTTTAATACTTTTTTGCATTGATTTGCCACCACCATTGAACAATTCTAGAATTTTTATAAGAGTTCTATATTTCTTCTCCTCTTTCTTTCGCGACAATATATATCCATTGTGCACAGCGACAAGGGGCTACTAGGAAATCTACAAACAAAAATAACATTATAAAATAACAAAACTACTCTATGCATTCCCTGTCCAAGAATAGGTGATGTTTGTTACAATAGTTGGTGCCTTGTTGCAAACATTGGCCAAACAATTACAATATTCGTAAATTGTGTTTTATTTACAATATAATTGTGTTTATTATTTTATGAAAAACACTTAATAATATAAATTTACCAAAAAAAGATATTCCTTCCAAAACATTGGTGTTACGGTGGTTTTTTACTCAGTTTTTGAACGCGCATTGCAGCGTTTTGACGTCTTAGTGTTGGCTATGATTGGACCATACTAATTTGAAATAAGACCACAAATTTATTTGTGGTCTTATTTTTCGGGCCGCTTTTGAAGCGCTAATCGCGAATCTAGTAGTATTATTGATCGAAGCCTTTGGACTAAATGCGACCAAAATCCCATCGCGCAAGACATTGCTCATCGGAAATGGCGTTGGATAGGACACACTCTACGGCGCAGCGGAGTCAACGCAGCATCAATCGCGTTTGAGTGGCAACCGCTTGGCAGGAGAAGACCTGGTCGCCCTGTACACACTTGGCGACGCACCGTAGAGAGTGAGATGAGGACTGCCAACGTGACCTGGAGTGATGTCAAGGAGCAAGCGCAAGACAGAGTAAAGTGGAGACAACTTGTGAGGGCCCTATGTACCAGCGGGGTACCCTAGGACTACAACAACAACAACTACAACAAGTCATTTTATTGGTGTTGGGTAGAACTTGGGCTATAAAGTCGAATATATTTTTTTTGTCTCAACGAGTCTAAACGCTTATTTATCGTTATAGTTAATACAAATTTACTCGCGAAATACTCAATTACTTTCTAGGAACTTACCTACAATTTCATTATGAACGTCTATTGACAAAAACGTTCACCGTTGAAAATAGACAACTGACTGATTACCTGATGAAGATCGTATGAATCCCCTGGATGCGGGCGCTTAGAGCGATTAACTGTCGGGAATACTTTGGCCCATGTTTCCCACTATTTATTTACAATTGAATAACAACATCTTCACCGCAGCGGACTATGGGAGAGGCCTACATCCAGCATTGGAGATGTACAGGTGGTGGTAGGTACATTACTGGTTGTAGGACCTCTAGTGAGTCCGCACGGGTAGGTACCACCACCCTGCATATTTCTGCCGTGAAGCAGTAACGCGTTTCGGTTTGAAGGGCGGGGCAGCCATTGTAACTATACTGAGACCTTAGAACTTATATCTCAAGGTGGGTGACGCATTTACGTTGTAGATGTCTATCGGCTCCAGTAACCACTTAACACCAGGTCGGCTGTGAGCTCGACCAAACATCTATGCAATAAAAAAATAAATAAAAAAACTGTCCAGGAATCGAATGGTCTCGGCTAATAAAAACATAACAATGAGTAAACGTCGATTACCTCGCAAATTCACATTTAGCATTCTCGTTTCCTGCACGTTTATTTAGCTTATGACCTGCCAAAATATTTATTGTACCAAACGTAACGCCTTATCGAGCAAATGGAGGTCTCCCCGGACATGAGTGCGATCATTATCCTTTTAGCCCAAGGTAATTTTGTTAATGTAGTTTTGTAAACTTTAATTCGCCTCTATTTTTAGATAAATAAATATACGAAAGCTGGCTTAAAAGAAGGGAACGTAATAAAATCTCGACGAACCTCGTGAAATCGCTTGATCTCGATGACTCATTTGGCTGAAAGGGCACTTGAAGTCATCCTCCTGGCTGAGCCCTTAAGTTTGCCTATCCATCCTAGCGGCAAGGTCTTGGACCAACCGCGATGCAATCCAACCCAAAACAAAACTGTAAATTCGAATGAGGACACTTCTTAGTAAACTCCCATAATATTTTACGTTTCTTTCGTGTAGTTAGATAGACATTCTCTTAATATTATTCGTTTATACCAGCTACTTGGTAAACAGCCTTCACCTGTTTTTTTTTAACTGCCTCTTATTTACCTCTTTGATACTTAATGAAGTATTATCTATACTGTTACCCTCGGTTCTGGCTTGATTCGGTAAGGGCGAGAAACTCTGTTGAGGTTGTTTCCAATTTCCGGTCTGAGAGATTGGTGTATTGGTGTACGGGTCTGTGTTTTTGTTTGGATCAAATGAATATTGTAAAATAGTATAGATAATAAATATTAGATGATAAAATTAGGTTATATTTCAATATTTACTTTATTTACAATATTTCACTTATTTACTTTGATATAGGCATGATTACTATTATTTAATCAGTATTAGATTTGTTCTTAAAGCCCGCTAGAATATTTTGTGTTCTTTCTTTCTTCCTGGCTTGCACTGATCAGCCACCGCTCAAAATTAACTAGGCCTGTGTCTGGTCTACCATTAAAAAAGAAAATTTTGGCACGTCTGTTCTTTACTCCAACGTGTTTTAAAACGATTTGTATTTCAACGTTCATATATTTCAACTAGAAAATATTGATCAATTTTTATTTATATTTATTTTTTGTATCTGGTATCTGTATATTTTTGATATTTGTATCTGGTCGTGGACTTTGGGCTAAGTTTAGAGCAATCAAAAACGGTTTGGTTGACAAAATATTGTATGTATCTAAGTCTGTCTTTAATGTCTTTAGTCTTATGCGTTTTGTCTTTAAGTCTTTTATGTCTCCCTAAACTAACCTAACTTCTGACAAAAATAGACTACAGTATGCTGAATTGTGTATTATCTAAATCATAGATTAAAATATCATGATATAATTATATTTATGACACCTACCATTTTGAAAAGTCCAAAATGGCTAAATGCTACTTGGCGTTCCCAATTTTTGCGAAGGATATTTTGGGCGTTTCAACTCATAATGTTTGTTGCAGCTAATTCGTAATTTTATGTAATTTGTGATCAAGTGATTTAAGAAAGAGGAATTTAGAATAGTCTATATAGACTATAAGTGCTTAATACAATTTTTATCTTTGCAGATAATTAAAATAGCTGAAACAAAAGAAGGCTTTATTGATCTCAACAATTTGGAACAAAAACTGCAAGAGAACTCTGGCACGGGAAAACGAATGATTGGATTCTTTCCCGCCGTATCCAAATTGACCGGAGTACTCGCTGATGATGTTGCCACTACCTTGCTGCTCCATCAATACGGAGCCTGGTCTTTCTGGGACTACACATTGGTTGCTCCCTCCTCGACCGTGGAGATGAACCCGGTAATTCCGGGAGTGGAGGATGAGATGGTCAAAAAGGATGCGGTGTTCTTTAACTGCGAGAAATTCGTTGGGGGCGTTCAGGGACCCCATGTCGTCATCTTCAAGAAGGAAGTGTTCAAGAACAGTCCTGTTTATTCTGACGACGTTGAGGTGAGTTTGGGTTGGGTTTTTTATTTACTGATAACGTATTATATGATATATCGTTTTTTATTTTTATTGCTTAGATGGGTGAACGAGCTCACAGCCCACCTGGTTTTAAGAATGGTTACTGGAGCCCATAGACATCTACGATGTAAATGCGAACATCGGTGCATCGCTCAACCCGAATGCACCGGACATCTTATCCTTTAGGCCACGACGACTTCAAATCGGATGGCATCGAATTTGGGATACTAAATAGATGCTATGTCATCGTCGATGAAAAAAGTACTGTAGCTGCTATTTTAATAACGTAATGATTGATTTTGCGAGATACGACTGGCTGGTGCAGCGACTATAAGTAGAAGCACTCAAAATTTATTTTAAAGATTTTATTCGCATTCGTTCATCACAAACCAATGGAGTGTGTTTGAGGGCTTGAGGAGGACGGAGGACCTATTGAGGTTCGCGGGGATCCGCTAGATGTAAGATGGACCGGTCGTTGTGGCGAATCTTCGAGGAGACCTATGTTCAGCAGTGGACATCTGTAGGCTAAAAAATAGATAGATATAAAAATTATATGATTTCGTAACTGCGTTTATTACTATAGGTTTATAAATATACTGGTGGTAAGACCTCTTGTGAGAAGTGGTAGGTACCACCATCCTGTCTCTTTCTACCTTGAAGCAGTAATGCGTTTCGGTTTGAAGGTTGGGGCAGCCGTTGTAACTATACTTGAGACCTAGAATTTATATCACAATGTGGGTGGCGCATTAACGTTGTAGATGTCTATGGGCTCCGGTAACCACTTAACACCAGGTGGGCTGTGAGCTCGTCCATCCATCTAAGCAATAAAAAATAAATAAATAAAAAGCAGGTGTATGTGAGTGTGAATTTGACAGAAACCAAGGGATTAATATTGCCGTAATAATATATTATTGCAACGTGAATTTTAAGATAGAACATGTAATATAATGACATTAAATGGGACGTGCGCATTTCTTAATGGCACCAATGCAATGATTTGTCTTTCAAAATTCTTATTGCGGACGTACATATTTACGTGTTCGAAATGTTTCATTGATAAACATTGCCAAAGTCCGAACATTGATGTATTGTGCAGTGTTTTTTTTCAGATAAAAATAATTTAAATTAATAAAAAAATTTAGCATAGTAATCAGGTGTTCCAGTATGAAAACGTCATTGTAATTGAGACTTCTGTATTCCCTCTGGTTTTTTTAGGATATGTTAATCGTTTAATTTAATTTTTAAAGGTGGTAGGACTTCTTGTGAGTCCGTGCGGGTAGGTACCACCGTCTTACCTATTTCTGCCGTGAAGCAGTAATGCGTTTCAGTTTAAAGGGTGGGGCAGCCGTTGTAACTACACTTGAGACCTTAGAACATATATCTCATAGGTAGGTGGCGCATTTACGTTGTGGATGTCTATGGGCTCCAGTAACCATAACACCAGGTGGGCTGTGAGCGCGTCCACCCATCTAAGCAATAAAAAAAAAACTTTTCAAGAGACCAACTAAAGAGACGCTACAGAAATATTACTATTAAAATAAAATAAAAAACAGAGAGAATCGCGAATTAATGTTAATGCCAAATAAAGGCACAATATTCCATGTGGGTATCTTAAATTAAAATCTAATTTAAATAAGACTATTCTGTGTAATTTTTTATATTGTTTCTCCTGGGTTTGTTTCCTCTACCTATTCGTTAGTACTCTAAGAGGGTACTACAGCTACGCCCAGATGGGTAAGTGAGCTCACGGGCTCAACCTGAAAGAATTTGCTAACACTAGCCCCAGTAAGAGCTGTCCTTCGCGGAATCTACTACCGGATCGGAATCGCGATCTACTGAGAAGATCCGGCGAGAAACACATTTTTTTTATTGCTCTTGTAGGCAGTCGAGCATACGGCCCACCTAATGGTGAGTGGTTACCGTCGCCCATGGACTTCAGCAATGCCAGGGGCAGAGCCAAGCTGCTGCTTACCGTTAAGTACTATCCAGAAGCCTCGCTTGAGGAAGGATATGTCATATAACCTGATGTTAAGTGGTTACTGGAGTCCATAGACATCTAAAACGTAAATTCCGCCACCCACCTTGAGATATAAGTTCTAAGGTCTCAAGTATAGTTACAGTATGGATGAACTCTACTCCGGTGGTGCGCGGTGGGATGGTAAAAACAATGAGCGGGATGTATTATTATTTGTGCCAGTCATCGAATCTGTCCACTTAGTGATGATGTGCGCTGTTTATTTCAGATTCGGAATTTGATAGAAAATATTTTTTCGTACAGGTATTGAGCGAGAGAATCGCAGAGATAAGATCGACAGACGCGGTGCGGGCTGTCATTGTTATGCAGTTGAGAGACTCGGTAGGACTGCAGAACATAGTGCAGCGACAGGATTCCATAACCAGGTAAATGACAAACTACCAACCCTAACATTAGGGTTGACAATCTATTGATACCAAATAAAAGTTTTTTATTTGCGTTGTATATGCGGCGAATATAGTGAATATGGAATGGTAATTTACATATGTACGGATTACCTACCTAGGTGACAAAATAAACACATACTTTAGGCGTAGTTGTAATAAGGCTTATTTTACTTTGTTATTACTTCATTTGTCGACGCGTTTACAAAGGATTCTCAGCCGCATGCACTCTTGGCAAAGTGGTCGTGGTCATCACTTCGGGTGGTGGTGCGCTTCACCAGAAGTCGCCATTCCTCGCGTAACGCGGCCCTACTTGTGCACTCGAAAAAATATATTCGGTTGGATATCTATATATTGGAATTTTTTTTAACAATGTGTATGTATCAATGTGCCATGAGATCCGCGATTAAAGAAACCTTTAGAAACGAATACTCGTATAGCGATCGGGTCGCATTTTCTTAATCCGCTAATGATGGAAGCGCGAATAGTATTTGTGATTTAATGCGATTCCAATTAATGTCCATCAAATAAATACTTTTTCTAATTAATTTTGTAAACTGCGGTTTGTTGATTGAATTTACAATTTCCGTTTCGGACAGACCGGAAATTACATTAATGTCATCGTAAAATATTATATTAAATTGGGTTTGGTTAGAAAGTATTCGGAGAGATAAATGTACACACACACACACATCGTCTTCCAGAAGTTATTCTAGTTCTGAATTAGAATGTTTTCCACAACCAGGTATTTGAAGATTTAGATAAGTAATTTATTTATTTTCTATTTATTAGATGGGTGGAGGACGAGCTCACGGCCCACCTGGTGTTAAGTGGTTACCAGAGTCCATAGACATTTACAACGTAAATGCCGCCACCCATTTGAAGATATGAGTTCTAAGGTCTCAGTGTAGTTACAACGGCTGCCCCACCTTTCAAACCGAAACGCATTACTACTTCTCGGCTGAGATAGGCAGGAGGGCGGTATGTACCCGTGCGGACTCACAACAGGTCCTATCAGATAGAAAATTGTTTGAACATAACCGTTCATTATTTATTTTGCTTATATTTTACAACTAAAATTAAGTTTAATGTTAAGTGGTTAACGTCGCCCGTGGACTTCAACCAAACCTGGAATAGCTATTGCAGATGTCGTAGCATTCCACAAGCACCTAATAAATATATGTTTTGCTTAGTCAACTGAACAATTTCAATTATTTTAATCCCAAGCTTTCAATGTCACCGGACAATTTATAAGCTACTAAAGGCTCCGGCTCCGCTCGGGTCTTTAACAAAAATTTCAACGATATTTGACGTGGTTTTATTTGCTTAACTAAAAGAACACTTATTGTGGCATAACTATAATAGTTAGACATATGCTGTCGCGACACTTTTTGTAAATAACGAAATCGTATTAAATTGTTTTATTCTATCATCAATAGTTTTCGCAGGGCACGCGATGTAAAGAATATTTTAGGTAATTTTTTTACACTTTGGGTTCCATTATTGGATTTTTAGTAAGGATCCCTAATTTTTTTCAAAAAAGATTATAGCCTATGTCACTCGGGAATAGTGTAGCTTCCAAACAGTGAAAAAACATTTCAAATCAGTTCAGTAGTTTCGGAGCCTGTTCAATACAAACAAACAAACAAATCTTTCCTCTTTATAATATTAAGTATAGAAGTATAGATTCACAAGAGAATTCAGGGGGAAAAACACCGGCAATAATGTAACCGATCAGATAAACAAGAACATTTCCGCAAATTTGCGGTGACACAACTTCGCCCACGCTGCGGTACTGTATCGGTTCATTTGTGACATAACAAGATGGCGTATACGAACGCTTTGGCGGATTCTAAATATTAAAAATAAAAACGAAAAAATAATAGTTTAAAAAAACTAACAAAATACGCTTTTATAGAAAACCCAACTAAAAAATAGAAAATATGCTTTTTAGGATATTATCAAAATAACCATTCAACTCATATCTGTTCATAAAATATTTATAACTACTGATACCATGCACACCAAGGTTTTTTTTTTTTTTTTAAAAAAATCATTTTTTCTTGCATTATTTTTAACACAAATTTATTAAAATTTATTTTCTATTTTTAAGTTGGATTTTCTATAAAGGCGTATTTTTTTTTTACATTTTTTTTTTCATTTCGAATTGTCATCTGTCCTTAATAACTATACCAAATTTCATTTACTATATCGTATACTATACGTTTTGAAGGGGGTCAAAATCATGTTCAAAGATTCCGTTACAAACATACATACGTCTGAAGCTAATAAAAGCGTATTAAAAAAACACATAATTCAACTTCTAAACAAACTGACTATTGTTTACGGGGCGGTGGAATTAATGGTGCTTGATTTAATTGGGGAGCTTCGTAAATTTGCTGGGCGAGTCTCCAAGAGCACTTGATAGGGCGACAGCCGATATTGGAACGTGCCGTAAATTATGACAGCTAACCAACTACAAGCGCTTCAAGAACCCCTACAAATTTTGTTCTAAAAAAAACAAGCCGGCATCTTGTGAAATGTCATTTTGATATTTCATTTCTACGTTCAAAATGCCTTAAAAGATACCGAGTACCAACATTTGGGACATAATTTTAAGTGTGTTTCGTTGCAGCTAATGTTTTAAAATATTAAAAGTTAGATTATAGTGTTGATACTCCTAACTTTTTCTTTAATGTGGCCGTACAAGAGCAACGGAGACTTGGCTGTCAGTTGAAAATATATAAAAAATAAAAGCTTGATATCTGTAGTTCAACCCAAATTGAGGTCTTGATGAGCTGCCTCTGCGATTTTTGTGTCCAGTAAAATAGTTTAATTTACTCTATAAAAGCGATTATTTAAAAAAAAAAAGATTAATTATTTACAACAAAGTCGCTTTCTCTGTCCATATATCTGTCTGTCCCTATGTATGCTTAAATCTTTAAAACTACGCAACGGATTTTGATGCGGTTTTTTTTAATAGATAGAGTTATTGTAGGGGAAGGTTTATATGTATAATAACCTCCATTAAATAGTGGAGAAATTAATAATAAATTAGTTTCCGAAGCCAAGCGAGGGCGGGTCGCTAGTTTACAATAAAAAAAAAATATTTTTTTTTCTAAATTTCAAATGTTATTATTGCGATGTGAGCACTGGATTAATCCATGAATCCGTCATTTTCAATGAAGCCCACGAGCTGTTGAAACAAGAAAATACTATTTACGAAACATAACAGTTATGGCGTCAGCTCCTACGGGTGGATACTACCATCTTGTCTGTTTCTGCCGTGAAGCAGTAATGCGTTTCGGTTTGAAGGATGTGGCAACCGTTGTACTATAAAACTGAAACTTAGAACTCAAGCCTCAAGGTGGGTGGCGACATGGTCCACCCATATAAGTGTGGGGATCTATGACAACTAAGAAGATCTTCCACCGAGCGTCTGATATTGCTTTGTTGTTGTTCGGAACTGGTATATATGCACGCTTATTTTGAAAATGTCGTAAGCGAGATTCAGGCATCTGTCAATTATCTTGTATTATATGATGGCTATCCGCCACATAGGCAATAAGATATCACCACCCAATTTTTCTCTGGTTTGAAAAGTCTAGCAGGCCTATACAATTGAAACAAAGACTTCAAGTCTTAAGATGGACGGCCACGTTTACGTTATGACATCTATTCCACGTGTTCCACGTGGTCAGCTCGTGAACCGTGACCTTTGTCTATGCGATGTTACGTCGCAGAGTATACAAGATATTAGAAAATAAAGTTATTATATTAATCGTAAGACATAACGTAGACCTTCGCAATAAATCACAAGTTCATCTTGCGTAATTGTACCTCAAAGTTGAATGGGTTCCAATTTGAAGATGTCCACGGTTAATGCAATACGACGCGACTCTACTCAACACTTACACTTGGTCGTATGCTGGTTCCTCGCCTTCCTAACTGGGGCAATGATAATAGCAAAATGATATTATATAAACAAACAAAATGTGGTGTCGTGGGACACCAGGTAGGAACGAAGTTCCTTCGGCTAATGTAGAATCGACACAATTTGCAAAAAAAAATCGTGCTCAATTTTATGTAGGTTTTCTTGTATTTTCTCTTAAATTTTGCTGATTAGATTTTATTTAAGTACAGGAAAGTATTTAGGAAATAATAAATTACGTAAAATAAAAAAAAATCGTAATTCAAATTATCAATTAAAATTAAAATAACAAAATATGTCTCTTTATTTTTGTTTGACAACATAAAATTACGTAGAAATAGAAATAATTACAAAATATTCACTACTCGCTTGTGTATACGACTGTCGCGCCTACGCACGTCTCATTTAACGGTTTTATTCCACGGACTTTTTCTTACGGTTTTACTATCACATTTTTTTCAGTTCGGTCGCGCAGCAAAATCCCTATCTCCTCCAAGCCTGCCGTAAGGAACTTCGTCCAAAAAAAAAGTTTTTTAATTCAACTTCTTTTTTGTTCTTGTAACATTAGCACTCACGAGGTCAATGGTCTATTTGTTTTTTTTTTACCTTGCCTTATTTATGACTTTGACTTCTACATGTGAATTCGTGTGGGTAGATGTGGATTTATTTAGATTTTATTGGCCAAGAAGTTACTCATTAAATTGTTTACTGTCAGTAGTTTCACTGTCATCTTCTCGATTGTATGAGGCGAATTGATATCGGGAGTAAATTAGGGAAAAAACTATTTTATTTGTGTATTCAAAATAATACTTTTTTCGTGATTCGTGAAGTAACGCTTGATTTAGTACTGTAGTCATGCGTTACACTTCGTATATAATTTAATTAAAATTCAATTTGGATTCGGTTATCATATCACAAATAATTATAGAAAGCCATCTCTTTCTAACACATCTAATTAAGATTAAAAATCACCTTAGCCGATATTAATTAGTTTACGGTTTTCATCCGCAGAAATGTTTTTAATAAACACGGCTTACACATTAATCAATTA